CGCCCACTCCCAGTACCTACTTTCTTCATCGACTTCCACCACATCCTCTACCCCTAGACTTTTCCCCTCAGGGTCTTACCTCCTCATCTCACCTCTGCACAGCTGAGACTTCCCAGGCCCCCTCTTATTGTACTCCGAGCTCACTCCCTCCCCTCCCTTGTCCCACCCTATTGTGTTCACCTGGCGAGAAGCCAGCCCTGCTTAAACCCACCTTCCACCAGCTCTGCTTGGGAACCCAGGCTCTGAACACAGCAAGAGGGAAACGTACGTGCTTTCTGATTCCACTTAAATATCAATCATCCTACAAACCCATGCATTTTCTGAGCTATCATCAACTTATTTTAATTTTATAAGAGCACTGCTCCGCGGCACTGGGTGTCAGCTCCTTTCCCTGCACCCCTCTATGCTATGTTGTGCATAGAGAAAGTGATCACAAATCATGAAACAAAAGACCAACAGCCAAATTGAAAGCATGGGCAAAGGACAGGAAGGTCCATTTCAAAGACAATGGAGACCATTTCTTTTTTTTTTTAATATTGTGAAGGTTTCTCAAACTTTTTTTTTTTTAAGATTCATTTATATATACAAAACTGGGGTACAGGCCAGAGGCATGGGGTTGAGCGGATTCACCAGAGACAGAGCGGGGAACAGAACAGGCAGACTGACTGAAATACACTGCTGAGGGGAGCAGCGGGCGAGCAGGAGAGGTCTGCTGCGCCATGTATTTATCTCCCTGGCGGGCTGGGATGTAACGCACGATGCAGAGGCTGCTGATAGCTTCACAGTGCTGTTCAACCCCCGGCGCCACCAGGGAGGCCCTGGACACCATTTCTTACACACAGAACAGACACAACATTTGACAAATCTCTGTGTGGCTGTGAGTGGTAGTTGGGAGCGGTATTTGCAAAAATTCCCGGTTCCTCCTTCTGGGTACTTGGTGAGAGTGTGCACTCCCACTGTCGGGCTTAGGTGTGACTGTGTGACTTTGGAGGAGGAAATGGGAGAGGAAGGCGCGTGGCATTTCTGCACATAGGCTGTTTTTGAGTCACCAATTTCACTTTCCTTCTCCTGGGTATCGGGCAACGTTCCAAATGGAGCTGGCTTCTTCACTCTGGTTAGGGGTGAGGCAGTGCCAGGGAGGAGCGAAGCCTCAATGGACACGTGTGAAAGAGAAATAAGCCTTTGTCATTTTAAGCCCCTGAGATTTGGGGGTTGTTTGTGACTGAAACAGCGTGTAGTCTTTTCTGACGGACTCCCTAAGCATTGCAAGCATTTGTATCAACAGAAGACATTGGCAAACCTTTTGTGGGGAAATGCCCTTTCTAAGCACTTAAGAGACAGACATGCACATGTGCAGAGGCAGACAAGGATGGGCACTGCAGTTCTGTTTATAATAATCAAAAACAAAACAACCCACACATCCAGCAAGAGGAGGTTGGAACATCACAGAATAGAATAATTTATAACCAGAAAGATAATGAAGCCAACTCACGCATATAGTCTGAACCCCAAGAGTGCATTGTAGTCTGAACCTCTTACTAGAGAAAGAGGCTAGAGCCACGGGAGGAAAAAATAAAGCTGTCCCTCCTCACCCAATATAAACAAAAAGTTACAATCAATCATAAAACAAATGCTTAAGTCTATTAAACTATTTTTATAAAAATATACTATCTTTAAAGATAACCAATAAATGGGTATATCAGTTACCCAGGCTGATAACCCAGTTACTGTTATCCAGTACAGTAACTGTTGCCTAGTTACTGTAACAAATTACCACCATTTGGTGACTTGAAACAACTGAACCTATTCTCTTACAGTTCTGGGGTCCAGTGGGGTGCAGCGGGGCAAGACAGTAGAGGTCTGTTGCGCCATGTGAGTCACCTCCCTGGCTAGGGATCGAACTCATGCTGCAGTAGCTGCAGACTGCTTCATAGTTCTGACGCTTAACTCCTTGCACCACCAGGGAGGCCCCCCCACTCCTTTCTCTTATACAAGTCCCTGGACTGACGTCATCTTAAAGTTATGAGGAATTCATCACAAGATTCTTAATTACATCTACAGAGACCCTACCTCCAAATAAGGTCACAGTCCCAGGTACCACGGGTTAGGATGCATCTTCTGGAGGAATGCTATTCATCCCACTGTAATAGGGAAGAGTAGGGGGGACCTGCGGGAAGGTGGGGGATCAGGAGTGGAAGAGATATGAACTTCTCACTGTATATTCTTTTGAATATACAGAAATTTTTTCTGTAATTTTTAAAAATTGAACTCACATACACAATGGGCGGCTCTCTCCCTAAAAAAGAGCGCATGCTCAAAATACCGACATTCCTAAATTACCTTAATTTACATGCAGGCACCGGTGACTGCAGCAGTTCAGGTTTCTGAGGCTAGGGAACGTGGAGTGTAGATAGTGAGTTTTGTCTACTGGTTCAGGCTCTGAGTGAAAGTCGAGGCGGGAGGCTGTTTTGAGGTAGGGCATTTTTACATGGGGGCAGACTGGGTGCTTTGGAGTGAAGGGAAGAATAATAGGAGATGAGGACTTCGGAGCAGATGGAGGAGGTCCCCGAGGAGGTCAGGCTGGGCAGAGGCGGGTCAGGCATGGACGAGAGGCAGAGGGTGGTGTTCTCTGCCCTGAAAGAGGAGAGAAGGAAGAAGGATGATATTGGCTCAGAAAGCACTTGTGGGGGAGGGGGAGGATCTATCTCTAGATAGATAGATCTTCTGTTTTACCCTGACCGCTCAACTCTGGGGAGCAGGCTAGTAATCAGCTGGCCAGGGCTTGGGGGACAATTCTGAGAAGAGGAAGCAGTTGACGGCACTACGTCTGGCCAGTTGCCTGTGTGTGTGTTTGCTGGTGGTGGCTGTAATTATGGAGAGACAGAAGCCCTGCCAAGAGGTAGGAGGCCCAGCTGGGGTCGGCCCCTTGAAGAGCCCAGTGGAGGATGTGGGATGAGAAGTGACTGTCCGTCTGGTTCCATCTGTTGCAGAGCTCAAGGCGCCTGCAGGACATCCTTGCCCCCCTACCGTCTTATCCAAGCTCCCCACTGCACAGTCTGGGATCACGTGCTCCTCTCTGCACATGCTTACTCAGCCTCTGGGTCCACTTTAAGAACCCCTGGTAAGTGAGAAGTCCAGCGTACAGAAGAGAAACGTCAGGACAAATTTACTCTCACCTCCCGAGGGCTATTCTTTGAAAGCCTTTGACCAGCAAGCTGCCAAAACTTGTCTGAAATGCAATTCCCTTTACAGGAGACAGGAAGGAGAGCCCACACTGCCTGTGGAAAGCCATGAGCAGCAGAACATCAGTTACCTCCTTGTTTGCACGAGGGATGGTGGGGTATTCTGTGGGAGAGCAGGGTGGCCAGGCCGATCCTGCAGAGGTCACTGTCAATGCACTGGCTGCAAATCTTTGTTAAATCAGCCTCTGGAAGGAGGTGTTTGCAAACATTGTGGGAGAGGCACCCATCATGGAGGCCAGGTTCAGAGCCAGTCATTTCACCAGAAGCCACTGCTCACAGGCAAAGTGGGGGTCACAAGCTCGCCTATGTTTCTTCCCACTTTGGCCTTTCTGGGAAGAGCACCCGGACTTAATGTGCACATACAGTCTGCACCCTCAGGCTGCCCATTCCGGAAGCACCCTCCTGCCTGGCACACAGCAGGTCTGTTTACCCAGCACAGATCCATTTATGTTCTTGGACGTGTGTGCAAAAGGAGCTGAAAAACAAATTGATTGAAACACCAAGTTTGTACCTACAATGGAGTTTTTCAGGCCTCCCCAGTGGCGCAGCGGTTGAGCGCTGGGTTGCGAAGCTGCCCGCAGCCTCTGCAGTGCCGGTTCGATCCCCGGCTGCTCCCCGGCCACCGAAGGAGGGTCCCACATGGCGCGCAGACCTCTCCTGCCGCCCGCTGCTCCCCTCAGCAGTGTACTTCGGTCCTTCTGCCTGCTCTGCTCCCTGCTCTGGCTCTGGTGAATTCTCTCACCCTCCCGCGCTTCTGACTGTACCCAATGCTTGTACAAATAAATAAATAAATCTTTACAGTGGAATTTTTCCATGTTCCTACTGATATCCTCATAGATTTAAAACATAATTTTTATAGAATAGATTCTTTGAAGCACATGTAGGAGATTAATGCTGGCTGGAAATCAAAAGCAAGCAGCCTCTTCAGTGGCTAGTTGGTGAAGTCGTTATGCCAGGTGCATAAGGGGCAGAGGCCAAAGGGGGCCTGCTGATTTTAGAAGGATGCCAACCTAAGACCCTGGAAAGAATTCGGGGTGAGGGCTGGAGGCAGTGAGGAGTCAGTGGTATCCCAGAGGGGGTGGTTTGACATCCTTTGGGCAGGAGGCTAGGGGTGTGGCAAACCCCAGATTACTGGCAAGGTGGGCTGACCCCAGTATCAAGAGCTTCACGCAAGGCTCAAAGAAAGCAGTGGATAAAAGGTGGCTCCGGAGGGTGGGCTTTGCCTTCCTGCCCTGTTAGGATTTGAGATTCTTTCCCTCTATTTGAGCACATTATTTGGGGTGGGCTAGGCTGAAACCTGATCCTGCAGTTCAGCTGGTGGTGGTGGTGGTGGTGGTCGCAGCAGGAGCAGCAGGTTTCGGATTTCCTTAATGTTTAATCAGGCAGAATCCTCCGATGGGACTCAGGTGGTGTGATCTGCCCAACTCTGGGAGCCGCGCACCCTCCACAACCCCAGAAGACTTCAGCCACGGAGTCGCCGAAGGGCGCGCGGCTGGAGGAGAGTGCTCTAAGTTCAGGTCCCGGCACCAGCCAGGAGGAGCTAGCGGGGCAGAGAAGGCCACCGGCGGCGAGCGCCCTGTCAGCGCACGGTGGCCACACCTGAGGCACGGAGCGCGGTGGCGCGCGTTTCCCCGCGGAGGTCCAGAGCTCCCGCGAACGCTCTGGGCCCCCATCGAAAGGTACCAGACGAGGCTAGCTTGGACCTCTCAACAAACCCGGGGTCTCCCCGATAGGGAGCAAAGCTCTCTTCTCTCGGTAATGGGCACCGGCAGTTACAGGAGGTCGTCGTGGGCGCTGTCGCGGCTGCTGCTGCTACTGCTGCTGCTGCTCTTGGGCCTCGCGGGCGCCGGCCCGCAAGTAGACGAGGTCGGCCACTACAAGAAGTCGGTGTTCGCCCTCGCGTCGTCGTCGGAGGAGGATGGCCGGGCTAACACGGTCGAGCATTTAGCCACAGCCACCTTCCACCGCTGTGCCAAGGTGCGAGCACCCAGGTGGAAGGCAGGGACTAACAAAACGCATCCCTTCCTCTCTCATAGATGTGTCTGTTTCTGCTGTGTAAGGGAGGGAGCAGGAAGGTCTCCGAGGGGTGACAGGCGGGCCGCAGATCTCCAGAACTGCGGGGAGCAGGGGAAATGAAAGGACTGCTCTTGGGGCTGCTCATGGCAATAAGCAGATAGGGCGGGCAGTCCAGGATCTCCTGTCTAGATTCCAGATGAGCTGCGTTTGGGTGGCTGGGATGTGCAAGGGAGTTAAAAGATTGGAAAGCACTTAGAATAGAACTGGGCATAGAGGAAATAGATCTGCTGTTAATATGCGTCCCAACTTGCTTGGGGGAAATCTGGGCAGAGGAGGATGTGTGGTGCGGGTGGGGTGGGGGTGGGATGGGGTCTTGGAGAGTGATGGCACTGCCTTGACAGGGTGCCGCGGGACAGAGATGGCAAATGACGGGTGGGGGGCAATTTCTTCATGCCACAAGTCTCTTATTCTGCATTGTATCCTTTTCAACTGAAGGAAAGAACAGAATTGAAGGGGAAGGGACTGAGTTATTCTCCATGCTTACCTGGCTAGTGTGCCTGGAGGCCCACTGGGAGGTTATAGCCCAGGCTGGTCACCTGAGATAAATGCCAGCACCTGCAGCTAGGTCTGTGGGGACTCCATCCAGGTTGGGGATCTTTGGTTCCCTCCAATTATAAATGTCCCAGGGGCTGGTCTGAAGTCTATTGCACAGGCTTAGAGTCAGACCTGGGTGTTGAATCCTGGCTCCATCACTCATTAGCTGGACTGGTGCTTGCCAAGCCATCTAATCTCTGAGCCTCCATTTCCTTTTCTTTAAAGAAAGGTGACAATTCTTGAGGACAGGGGGGGTTTGTGAAGATTCAGTGCTGCAGACTCAAGAAAAAGGGAAAGGAGTTCTGTTGACATTGAGGGACCTCATGATGTAAGCCAGGGAAGAGGATACCATAAGAGGGAGTATTTCCTCAGTTGTACTGTATATAGCACAGTTTGCTGTTTCAGCCACCTCTGAGCACCCTGATTGCCCATCAGTGCCTTTCTAAAACCCAAATAAATTATGAGTCTGGAAGGCTATGTGGCCCTAAGACTTTGGGTAAAGGAGGATGGACTCCATTCTACTCCATCTCATGGAGCGGGGGCTCTAAGCTGCAATATACAGAATTGAAAGATGAGGCTGCAGGGGTGGGTTCAGGCAAGGACTAAGAAGGAAGTTTCTTGAGCAGGTGCATCTATTTGAGAAGTAGGTAAGTTTGAGGAATAGGTAAGAGCTAACTAAGACCAAAAAATCTGCTATTATAGACCATGCTGGGTCTTTTTCTCTGCACTTGAGAAGTGTTGCCTTTGCTTACTTAATCATCCCTTCATCTGCAGTTACAGAACCCCAGACTATGAGCTCTACACAGCTCACTCTCTTGGCCTTCCCAGCAGGTCTTATGGTATTATGATCCCTACAATACAGAGGAGACAGCTGAGGCTCAGAGAGGTTGAATAATTTGCCCATGGACACACAGACAATATAGGAACTGGGATCCACATTTTTGCTGCCCTCAGAAAGGGCCTAGAGGTACTAGACTATGGGGGAAGTGGTTTATTCTGACTGGGGGATCGAGAAGGTAGGTGTAGCTAGGGGGTGGTCTGGGACAGGGCCTTAAACGTTGGGCCCATAGAGAACTAGATTCATTATTATTTTTAATGCCATGTGTCACTCCTTGTTTCTTGGGGCCAGGAAGCCTGGAGGTTACCAGGCACCTACATGGTGGTGCTGATGGAGAATACCCACCGCCTGCAGACAGAGCGTGCTGCCCACATCCTGCAAGCCCGAGCTGCCAGCCGGGGCTACCCCGCCGAGATCCTGCACATCTTCCACAACCTTTTTCCTGGCTTCCTGGTGAAGATGAGCGGAGACCTGCTGGATCTGGTGAGCCACCCTCTCTGGGCACTGCACTCCCCAACGGGGAGAGACCACCCAACACAGAAGGGGTAGGGGCAGTGCTTGGTGTGCCCTCGCTGAAAATCAGGAGACAGCATGCATTTATTGAGCACTTACTGGGTACCAAGCATGGAGGCTCCTGGTTTTATGTATAGATGCCCTTTAAGTCTGACCATTCTCCAGTGTACATCTTCATTTGCACATCTTCATTTGAAAGATGAACATTTGTACATCAAATGTACATCTTCATTTGAAAGATGAGACTGAGGTTCAGAAGGGACCACATAGATGGGGAAGTGCTGAGCACAGTGGGAAGCTGCTGCAAGGGGGCCTGGCACAGGGGCAGCTTCCTGGGCACCAGACAGGGTGGAGAAGGGCAGGGAACAGAATGGCCAGTGCCATCACCATGATGTGGGCATGGAGGTCAGGTCAGCCTGCCCAGCATCTGGAAACTGCCTGGCTCCCCAGATGACACACCAAATTCAGAATCCTCCCTAAAATGAACCCTCTGGGCCACATGGTATTAAGCTCAGTTGCCAAGATGTTGGGGCTTATGAAGGAGTGAGGAAAGCCTGCACCGGGAGGGAGTCTACCAGGACCAGGTGAGAGGGTACTGGGGTGTTACTTGAACTCATGTTGGATGAGCTGGCACAAGGCTGTGGTTGTGTTGGTCTTTGGTAAAGTGACTTTTGAAGCAGAAGCACTGGCCTCCCCGCTTTCTGCAGGCCCTGAGGTTGCCCCGCGTGAGGTGCATTGAGGAGGATGCCACTGTCTTTGCCCAGAGCGTCCCGTGGAACCTGCAGCGGATCATCCCTGCCTGGAGCCAGGCAGCTGAACCTCGACCTTCCTGTAAGGCCCCAGCCATGTGCTGCTGTCTCCAGCCCCGCTGAACCCACTGACCCTACCTCCTCCCTGACAAGGTCCTCACCTCTCATTGGCTTTGGAACTCAGTGTATCCCACTGAGCCCCCTTCTCTGTCTCATCAAGCCCCCACCCCTGCCTTCCTACTGCTTAGATAAAATGCAGCAGTCTCTCTTGAAATGAACTTCTCTTCTACCTTCTAGAGGTTCTTGTTTGCCTCGTCTCTCCTTTTGGAAGGCCCAGCAGGCTGCACTTACTGTGAGGAGAGAGTAAATCTGACCTTGACTCTCCCCTAGGTCCCCTGATCTCCCAAACCCCTGTAGGGCCCTCCCAAAGGACCCTTTAATGGGAGAGACAAGGCCCTGCTTCCACCCTGCCTCTATCCTGGCTTCCTGCCTTGCCCTGCTGCACCGTGCTCCAGCACCAGCAGGCTTCATGGCCTGTGTGGCCAGGCTAAGGACAGGAAGATGGGGAGAGGCCTAGGAAAATGGCCTGGGTTCTAGCAGGTCCAATAGGTGGGTGCCGGTGTCACTTATTGAGTAGGGGAAGGTTGGAAAGCCACCTGGTTTGAGAGAAGATCAGGGGTTTTAGGGGACCATGTTGAGTCTGAGCTTCTCAGTTACAGCTTCTCAGTTTGTTCTTCAAATCCTATTGTCTCCCTCTCAGGTTGGGTGAGCTGTGAGCTATTTATAATTTTATAAATTATAAATAGGCCTATTTTGGTTTTGAATGTTCATATGTTATTTCATATTAATATTAATATTATGGAGCCAATTTGTTTATTTTTTTGAGATTTATTTATTTATGCATACAAGAGCAGGGGTACAGGCCAGAGATGCAGGCGGTGAGAGGACTCACCAGAGACAGAGTGTGGAGCAGAACGGGCAGACTGACTGAAATACACTGCTGAGGGGAGCAGCGGGCGAGTCAGGAGAGGTCTGCCTCACCATGTGGGTTGCTCCCTGGCCAGCCAGGGATCAAACTCGTGCTGCAGAGGCTGTGGATTGCTTCATAGTGCGGTGCTTAACACCTTGTGCCACCAGGGAGGCCCCCAGAAAATTTGTTTTTCTGCCTGGTTCTGCCATTGCCTGCTGTGTGACCTGGGAGAGTTACTTACCCTCTCTGTGCCTCACTTTTCTTGCCTGTAAAAGAAAGATACTATAGTATGTACTGCATGTGGATGTTTTGAAAATTATTAAGTCAATATGTTTAAAGTGTTGGGAGCAGAGTAAATCATTTATGTGTTAACTGTTGCATTAAGCTTAGGTCTTCTCTTTCCTCTCTACAAGCCTCATCTTACACAGGTGCAGGCAGCCAGGTAAAGGTGTATCTCTTAGATACCAGTATCCAAAGTGGTCACCGGGAAATTGAGGGCAGGGTGAGAGTCACTGACTTTGCAAACGTGCCTGAGGAAGACGGGACAAGCGTCCACAGACAGGTAAGCATGCTCCTCACCTGCTTCCAGGTGGCTGATAGGACCGCCTGGGAGGGTGGTAGCTATAGGGCTGGCCCCGCCCCCAGCCATTACTATCCTCTCTGCCATCAGTTGTGGGTGGGGCCCGTCCAGCCACTTGCCCATATACTGTGGGGTGGACTAACTGTCTCACACCGGCCTTGTGTTGATCAATCAGGCGAACAAGTGTGACAGCCACGGCACCCATGTGGCCGGAGTGGTCAGCGGCCGAGATGCTGGTGTGGCCAAGGGCGCCAGCCTGCACAGCCTGCGTGTTCTCAACTGCCAAGGGAAGGGCACGGTGAGCGGCACCCTCAGAGGTGAGTGGCGGCTCTGGGTAGCACTGGCATTGGAGTGGGGACCTGGTATGGGAGGGGCTTCAGCCCAGAGAGAACTCACCCTGACCAAGAGGTCCAGGCAACCTCGGCCCCAGCGTGAGAGTCCCAGAGAGCCAGAGCTGGCAGGGCCCACAGAGGGCACAGTGCAGATGGGGAAACTGAGGTTCAGACTGGGGCAGGTGCTCAGTCCAGGATGGTCATGCAACTCTGACCCGGGTCAGTGGGCTCTTTGCAATCTCACGTTGCTCTCTTTTCCAATCTTTCAAGTACTTGTATCTGTTGCCACGTTATTTTAGATTCTGATGCTTTATTTCTGCTGGCTGACCTCTAACACTGGGGCACATACTTGTTTGCATGGCTGACCAGGCTCAGTAGGTCACCCCAGCTAGGTGGACTGGGTGGAGGAACTGGCAGGATTTTTTCTAGACTCTTGAAGGTTTCTCCATCTAGTTTACCTGGTGAGCCTCAGGTGATGTTGAGCTGAGGGCTGGGACCCTGGGGTGGAGGGCTGTGGACAGAGAAGGGGCTGGAGCTCACATCACTTTCCTCTTGTGCTCAGTCCTGCAGGTTGATTGTGAGGCCTTGTGGGCACCTATATCCAGGCACATAGAAAGCCTGGCACATGGAGTGCTGGAAGTCTGCTGGCTTTATTGCCTTGGCTGTGGTTAACATGCTTCCCACGTTCCTGAGTGTGTGTCACAGTTCCCCAGAGAAGCAGAGTCAATAGGATGTGTGTGCATACAGTTGACCCTTGAATAACATGGGGGTTAGGGGTGCAGCTCTCCTATGGATTTTCAGATAACTTTTGACTGTTCTAAAACTTAACTGTGTCCCTTGGTAACCCAGGGTGATTGATTTCAGCGTCCCCCTTAACCCCCACCCCCAAGGATACCAAAATCTGTGAATGCTCAAGCCTCCATATCTGCAGGGTTTTATATCTCCAGATTCAACTAACTGATCTATGGCTTGTTGAACCCATGGACCAACTTATTTGAGGTGTGTTGAATATGGAACCCTCAAATGTGGAGGGCTAACTGTATTAATTGAAAAATCTGCATGTAAGTGGACTCATGCAGTTCCACCCCTGTTGTTTGAGGGTCAACCATATATATTTCTATATAGATTTATTTCAAGGAACTGGCTCGTATGATTGTAGGGTTGGCATACCTGCAGGGGAGCCTAGCAGTATCGAAATTCTGGTAGGAGTTGATGTTGCAGTCTTGAGTCTGAAGGCAGTCTGGACACAGAATTCCTTCTTCCTTGGGGAGACCTCAGTTTTCTTTTAAGGTTTTCTTTTTCTTTTTTTTTTAAAGATTTATTTATTCATGCATACAAGAACTGGAGTACAGGCCAGATGTACGGGAGGGTGAGAGGATTCACCAGAGACAGAGTGGGAAGCAGAGCAGGCAGACTGACTGAAATATACTGCTGAGGGGAGCAGCAGGGGAGATAGGAGAGGTCTGCCGCACCATGTGGAATTCTTGCCGGCCGGGATCACACCCACGCTGCAGAGGCTGCAGACCACTTCACAGCGCTGCACTCAACCGCCTGCGCCACCAGGGGAGGCCCTTCTTTTAAGGTTTTCAACTGATAGGATGAAGCCCTCACCCATTATGGAGGGTCATCTGCTTTATGCAGAGTCTACTGACTTCAATGTTAACCATGCAGTTTGAAACTGTTGTTGGACCAAACATCTGGGCGCCATAGTCTAGCCTAGCCAAGTGACACATAAAATTAGTGCCCACGTTCTCCCTCGAGGAATGGACTGGGAGAGGGGGAGCACATGTCCCTGGGGTGACCTTGGCTTTGTCCTCTTAGGTCTGGAGTTTATTCAGAAAAGCCAGCTGGCCCAGCCCTCGGGGCGCTTGGTGGTGCTGCTGCCCCTGGCAGGTGGGTACAGCTCAGCCCTCAATGCCGCCTGCCAGCGTCTGGCGAGGACTGGGGCAGTGCTTGTGGCCGCTGCTGGCAACTTCTGGGATGACGCCTGCCTCTACTCCCCAGCCTCGGCTCCCGAGGTGAGTGCAGAGGCTGACACCCTCCAGCATGGAGGGAAGGCGGGCAGGGGGGCCTTCATATCTGCTTCATGTGGTGAGTTCCTGGAGGCTGAAGGAGCCTCGCTCTGGCAGGAGTTGTCAGAGACCCTCAGTGCAGGAGCCTGGATAGGAGGCTTGAAGCTCCACAGCGTAGCCTGTGACCAGCACTGTGCGCAGCTCTAGTCCCCCTGCCACACAGCCACTCTCCCTCAGAAAGTCTCCTCAGCGCCCCCAACCCTTCTATCCCCATGACCTTGGCCCGTGTCTGAACTCCATTTACTCTCCCCTGGGCTGACACCATGGTATCCTCAGCAGTTTCTCTGCCACCCCATTTCTCTCTCCTTGGCCCCCATAACACAAACCTGTCCATATTACTCCTACCTAGGACCCCCGGGGTCTTCCTATAGCACAACTACCCACTCAGGTCACCCCGGGATCCACATGACCAGCCTCAGCCAGCAGGCCCCACCTGAGCGAGGCTAATGAGATCGGGAGCCCCTGAGGGCCCAGAGTCCCTCAGGTGTGTGCCCGGCACTGTCCAGGTGTGGCCCAGGTAGTTGGGATGCGACAACATATAGACAGGCCCGGAGGGGCCGACAGATTGGCAGGGCCCATAGTGGCCCATTCCTCTGGCCAATGTGTGTTGGGCAGTTTGGGCATGAGGGTTGCAAGAGGAAGGAATCTCATTCTGCTTCAAGGGCTTCACAGTCTGGGTATGTGTGTGTGTTGGGGCAGTGAGGGTGTGAGTCTGACTGTGATAAGCTTTCCTGGATGCTGAGTTTACTATAATAGAAAGCAAAGAAAACTCACCACATCTGCTCTGCCTTGCCAGCTCATTTCTTCTCCATTGCCCCTATCACTGCCCAAGACACTGAATAGGTCCCTGTATTTGTTTATTGCCTGTCTCCCCACTAGAGGGACATGGGGAATGTGTCTGACACATGGTAGGGACAGAGGGCAGCACCTAGCCTGGGTGGGGTAGGGCACCAGGTTCTGCCTGGGGAATCAGATTTCCCTCAGAAGGGGACATTTGAATGGGACCCAAACATACATGTAGAAGTTGGCCAGTCAGCTGGCAAGTCCCATTCTGTCCCTGCTGCCCCTGCTCTTGGTTCTATCTATTTATTTACCTATCTACCTATCTAACTACCTATCATCTACCCCCTCATCTCTCCAGGTCATTACAGTTGGAGCCACAAATGTCCGGGACCAGCCGGTGACCCTGGGAGTTCTGGGGACCAACTTTGGCCGCTGTGTGGACCTCTTTGCTCCAGGGGATGACATCATAGGTGCCTCCAGCGACTGCAGCACCTGCTTCACATCCCAGAGCGGGACGTCCCAGGCTGCTGCCCATGTGGCTGGTGAGTCACCACCCCGGGACCTCAGTCACCATGATTCTAACATCTTCTTTGGCAGACAGGGTGTGTCCCAGGACCCCATGTGCCAGGCTCAGTGCTGGGTATGTAGGACCAAAATGAATGAGACAGATGATGACCCCAAGGACACTCAGTTTGATGGGGTGACAGCTACGCAGAGTAGTCAGGATTTTGTACAAAGGAGCCCAGAGATGGCACTTGCCCAGCCTGATGGTCAGGGAGGGTTTTCTGGAGGAGGGGCATTTGATCTAGGGTTTGGTGGATGAATAGGAGTTTACCTGGTAAGAGCAATAGCCATAGTTCAGAGGCATGAGAGAATATTGTAAGGTGGTCTTTTTTTTTTTTTTAAAGATTTATTTATTTATGCATACAAGAGGTGGGGTACAGGCCAAATGTGTGGGAGGGTGAGAGGATTCACCAGAGACAGAGCGGGGAACAGAACAGGCAGACTGACTGAAGTACACTGCTGAGGGGAGCAGCAGGCGAGTCAGGAGAGGTCTGCTGCACCATGTGGGTTCTCCCTGGCCGGGGATCGAACTCATGCTGCAGAGTCTGCAGATAACTTCATAGGTTGCATCTTCACCCCTTGCACCACCAGGGAGGCCCTGTAATGTGGTCTTTTTTTTTTTTTTAATTTTAGATTTTTTTTTTTAAAGAGGCACGTATTTTATTCATTTATTTATTTGTTTGTTTGTTTTTTGTTTATACATGCACTGGGTACAGTCAGAAGCGCGGGAGGGTGAGAGAATTCACCAGAGCGGGGAGCAGAGCAGGCAGAGTGACGAAGCACACTGCTGAGGGGAGCAGCGGGAGGCAGGAGAGGTCTGCGCGCCATGTGGGACCCTCCTCCAGTGGCCGGGGAGCAGCCGGGGATCGAACTGGCACTGCAGAGGCTGCGGGCAGCTTCACAACCCAGCGCTCAGCCGCTGCGCCACCGGGGAGGCCCCTGTAATGTGGTCTTACCATTTAGTTTTCACTTAGCATGGGCTTGTAGGTGATTTCATTTCTGGAAAAACAGCTTGGAGTGTTTGTGTACCTGTGGGTGGCACGTGTGTGCTAGGAAGGGAGACCCAATGCAGGGAGGAATGCAAGGCTACCACCATCTTACCGCCCATCCACCACTAGGCATTGTGACCAGGATGCTGACTGCTGAGCCAGAGCTCACCCTAGCGGATCTGAGGCAGAGACTGATCCTCTTCTCTGCCAAAGGTGTCATCAATGAGGCCTGGTTCCCTGAGGACCAGCGGAGGCTGACCCCCAACCTGGTGGTCACTCTGCCCCCCAGCACCCACAGAGCAGGTCAGCAGGATGGCAGGGTGGGCAGTGTCCAGATCGGGACTTGGGAGGCCTGTGTGACCTTGGCACTCTCAGCACCTCCCTCTTCTGAGCCGAGGGTGGGGTGGAGAGAATGGGAAAGGTCTGAAAACAGGTTTCAAAGAACAAATGGCTCATCCCCTATGACAAACCAATGCCTGCTCTGCAGTCCCTGATGGAGATGCCCTGCCCCCACATGTCCGCTCCTCACGCCCAGTGTCTCCTTGCAGGTGGGCAGCTGCTCTGCAGGACTGTGTGGTCGGCGCGCTCATCTGCTGCCCTGGCCCACTGCTCTGCAGATGAGGAGCTGCTGGGCTGCTCCAGTTTCTCCAGGAGTGGCCGGTGGCGGGGGAAGTGCATGAAGGTGAGCTGCTCCCCGCCAGTCATCTGTGTGTGTCCATCCTGCTGCAAGGCCCAGAGCACCCCTGTCTCCTCAGTGACCCCTCACAAGCCCATCTTCCATTGGGAGCCCAGTGCCTCTCTGCGAGCTCAGAGATGGGCTGGGCACCTCGCGTGACATGGGGTTGGGTGCTGAGATGGTCCAGGCTGAGGGTTTCCAGGAAGTGTGGGCAGCACTGCTGGATGGAGTCCAGGGCCCGTCCAAGTGGGACAGAGAGTGGGGGCAGGGAGTACTGCCTTACTGCCTCTGGACCCAGTGGTCTCCACAGCCCTTTTCACTCAGCTGGTTCATAGTTCCAATGGTTGAGAAATCTTCTCAAACCAGCAAAAGCAGGAATTACTGTTAAGGTCACAGGGCGGTGCCTGTATGCTGTGTCGTCATGGTATCTTGGTGGGAAGACAGTGCCCAAGCTGGGAGGGTGAGGCAGGCAGGCACTCTGCCTGGGGCTGGGACCTGGGGCTGGGGCCTGCGAGTGCACTCCACCATGGCTGTGCAAATGAGCCTGCTTGAGAGGGGCCAAGAGCTGGTTGGACTGAGCAGGCTGAGTTCCTGCTCTGAGTTCCTGCTCTGCCATCTTAGAATTCTCTGTTCTCAGTGCCCAGGAGAACATTATATGATACACAGAGCTGCCCATCTGCAGAGGTTGGCCTGGGACAGAAGTGCACTCCTTGTCCCGGGAAGGCACGGGCTGGCCCCTGGCAGGGACATCGAAGAGTCTGAGGCTTGGATCAGGCACCTGAGCTCTCCACCCCCTTACCCCGTGTGGTGAAGCCCTTTCTAAAGCACATTTTTGTTTCTATCTTTGGCTTTCAGTCACAAGGGGGCAAGTGGGTCTGCCTGGCCCATGGTGCATTTGGGGGTGAGGATGTCTTCGCCGTTGCGAGGTGCTGTCTGCTCCCCAGGCCAGCTGCAGTGTCCACACAGCTCCACCCACGGGGACTGGCACGGAGACACATGTCCACTGCCTCCAGCAGGGCCACGTCCTCACAGGTAGGAGGCTGGGCCCACCCTGGGCTGGGGTGGCATCCCCATCTTTCTATGTACCCCCAACCTGGCTGGTCCTCTGCTGTAGCCCTACTGCCCCATGCAGTCCCACCCCCGTGACCCTGGGCAGTGACTGGGCTTCTCTCAGCCTCAGCTTCCTCCCTGCTAAGAGAGACCCTAGTGCCTGCCTCCTTGGATTCAGGGAATGAGTCATGTTCAGAGCTCCAGACCTGGGAGTGTGCTCCAGGGCACGCTCTGAACGGCAGTGCAGTGTGTGAGTGGCAGCTTGGGGAGTAGCTTGGAGACAGGCTTTGAAAGTGGAGCTGACCATGGTTTAATCCTGGCTTTGTGCCAGTCAACAGCTGTGTGACCCAGGCAAGTTACTTAACCTCTCTGTGCCTTATTTTCTTCATCAGAAAATGGAGGTGACGGATGTTAAGCACTTAACTTGGTGCTGGTACAATATTAATACTAGTTATTGTTACCATTATCGTCATAATCATTATCACCCAATCCTTTGAAATCTATTCCTTGATATAGGTCGAAAGCAGGAAGTCACAGAGAGAAACCTGTGGGGGATCCAGGAATGGTGCCACATCAAGCACTGGCTTGGTGGGAAGTCTGTTCTGTTCTAGCCACCCTTCCCTCTTGCTCCCCATCTCTGGATGGAGAAATGATGTCCCCCGTGAGAAACCAAGGCTCACAGAGGCTAACTGGCTTTCCCACAGTCACACAGCAGGTTCAAGGCAGAGTTGAGCACCCAGGATCCAGGCTAGTGTCTCTTTCCCACCTTAGCTTGTTTTTGGGCCCCTATCTTCTGCTTCAGACCCTATCTGGTCGGGGTGAGAGTTGAGCCCAAGCGTTTCCGCGCAGCTGCTTCTCAGGCGACTCTCCTCTCCTCTAGGCTGCAGCTCCCACTGGGAGGTGGATGACCTTGGCACCCCCAGGCTGCCTGGGCCGAGGCCACAGCCTGACTGATGTGAGGGTCACCAGGAGGCCAGCATCCACGCTTCCTGCTGCCAAGCCCCGGGTCTGGAGTGCAAAGTCAGGGAACATGGGGTCATGGGCCCCACCCAGAAGGTGAAGAGGCATGTTGGGGCAGGTGGGAGCCTGGCAGCCTTGGGTGGCTTGTGTCTGTCCTTGCAACTTTTCAGTCTGGTGTTTGTGCTTACTCTTCTGTGTCTGGGAGGTGGTTTGTGAAGTAGATGCTGTTGGCAGCGTTTGCAACTGTGCAAATATGTGTGTGTTCAGATTAGTGAGTTTGCTATCTGCTCACCCACAATATTGGAGGGTGATGGGTGTTTCGGGCAGAGGGAACAGCCAGGATGAAGACCCTGAGGTGGGCGGAACATGCCTGGAGAGCACTCAAACAGACAGGAGGCCAGTAAAGAGGGGACAGTGAGCCAGGGCTGGGGGCAGAGAGGGGCCGGGCTGGGTCAGGTGGGGTCTGAGTGCCACTGGAAGGACTTATGCTCCAGTTAACTTGGAGCCAAGCAGGATTCTGAGCTTGGGGGCGGGGGGATGGGGAAGCAGGTGTCTGACCTGGGTTTGATGAGATTTGTCCCGGCCCTTGTGCTGAAGAGAGACTGCAGAGACAGGGAGACTGGATGGACATTTGCTGTGACTGTCCAGGCCTTGGTGATGGGGACTCAGCCAGCTGGGGGCGTGGAGGGCCCTGGTCACAGAAGGGAGGCCCGCAGATCTGACAGACTGGAATGTGGGTGGGCAGAGTGGAGGGCGACTCCAGGTGTTTGCTGAGCACCTGGACAGATGCGCCATCACTGGCCTCTCAGAATACTTGGGGAATAAGAAAGTGGAGACTGCCCCCATCTGACAAACGTCGGAAAGCACTTGACTCAACAGCCAGTAGCTGGGAAGGCCCCAGACCTCCAGCACAGCAGCCAGTAAAATCTACCTTTTTTTAGAAGCTACTTTTTAATGAGCACCTATTGTATGCCAAGCATTTTTCATAAGCCATCTCATTTAATCCTCATAATAACTTTGTGAGGTCCCACTCTACAGAAGAGAAAACTGAGGCTCCAAAATGGTTTGCTGCTCTGGTCAAGGTCACTCAGTTATTCAGTAGAGTCAGGGTCAAACCCAACCCCAAGAGTCCCAGAGGCCAGTCTTTAAACCATAGAGGAAAGGAGAGGAGAAAAGATGAAAATAACAGTTTTTAGATCAGTTTAGTTTGCAACATTGTAGATTTCACAATTTCTCACCTCAGCTACTGTATATATCACACCACACCACCACGAGATTCAATCACCACCCTCTAATCAACCCCTCTACCTGTTTTCCCTCTCTACTCTCCCCTCTGGTAACTACCACTCAGTTGTCAGAGTTTGTGGGTTTTGTTTGTTTGCTTGCATTTTTTGGTTGTTGGTTTTTTCTTTATCTTCCACCAATAGGTGAAATCACTTGGTATTTATCTTTCTCCTTCTGATTTATTTCATATAGCATAACCCCTCCAAGCCCCACCCTCATTGTCACCATGGCCAAATAGTGTTCTCTTTGTGTCTACACCATGTCTTCCTTACCCGCTCATCCATCATCTGCCACTTGGACTATTTCCAGCTTGGCTACTGTGAACAGTGCTGCAATGAACAGAGACACATCTACCTTTTCAAATTAGCATTTTCATATTCTTGGGTAAATACCCAGAAATAGGATGGTTGGATCACATGCTATTTCAATTTTCAATTGTTTGAGGAACCTCCATCCTGTTTTCCACAGTGCCTACACTGGTTCACATTCCCACCAACAGGGTATGAAGGTTCCTTTTCCTCTACACCCTCACCAGACTTCTCCTGTCTTGGCTTTATGATCATCACCATTCTCACAGGAGGGAGGTGATCCCTCACTGTGGTTTTGATTTGCATGTCCCTAATGATAAGCGATGATGGCCATTTGTCAGAGTTGCCCATCAGTATGTCTTCTTTGATGAAACATGCCTGTCTAGATCTTGTGCCCAGAAAATAACATTCACTGAGCACTGTCTGTGTTCCACTCCTGACCAGGGCTAAGTGTGGCCTGAGTGGATGTGTGGTGATGGTCACACTGGGGGAGGGGGTACCTGCTGGACTGCTCCATTGTTCCCTGCTCCTGCTGTAATTGATATGTGGGGCAGGGTGGGAGGCAGGGGGAAGCAGTTCTTTAAGATGGTGTAGTTACTCTGTTTTCCAACGACCTTTCACCTGTTGCTTTTAGCATTTCCTCATGATCTTTGCCTGAGTCAATTACTGGTTGCAAAATAATGATGTCCTACATTAAATGTGATGTTCTACTTCTTTCACCTCCTCTAAATGTAGCATTTTGCGCGCTACTATAAATGAGAACCTCTTTGGTATCATTATAAATTCATGAATGTTGAAATTCAACATATTGGAGGTGACCCAGCACTGCTTTTGCTATTTAAACCACCCCCAAGTGGGCCAGAAGGGGGATCCTTCATGCAGATACCTGTGTCCTTTCTGTCCTTTCAGCTTGTCCTCATGGGTCTGTAAGCTCCAGACTCACCTGATACAAGTCCCAAGCCTAGAATCAGCCATTTGATCAAAGAGTTCCTTTTGGTAGGGAATGGTATTTTGAAACCAAGAGCTAAATGGCATTTAGAAACCAAGCAGGACGTAATCACTGCTATTTTAACTTGGTTTGGGTTATTACACTTACATTGATTGTTCTCATTCTATCTTCACACCAATTTTCTTCCTTCCTTTCTCCCATCGCATAATTCATCTCCCTTCTTCCACAGAGAAGTCTGGCTCAAAATAACATCAATATATATATTAACTCCATTGCACAGTACACACAGATCACAGCACCAAATCCTCCAGCAACAGCAAAATCCTACTAAGTCGTAGGATTAATGGTGGGAGAGCTACAGTGACCACACCTGAGGGGAGAAATCAATACATGATTTCCAATATATTGCCCAAAAATCAACAACAATGTAAGAAAAAATACTGTGTTTGAAAAGTTCTTCCAAATGTGTGGTTGTTACCAATGTGACATTTTCATTTGTTTCCCTCTGTATTGAATTTTAGGGTTTCTCCTCCCATCATTTTTATTTAATGTTTTTTTGATGAGGCAAACTACATGTCTCAAAAGTCAAAAACTGAAAGAGTGATTCTTCTCCTCACATACCCTTCCTGCTGCATTTACTGCTCCATTTGGTAAGAATTGTCATTGCTCTGCTTTATTCTTCCCAGCTTCCTTTTTTTTTTTAAGAAGAATACATAGCCATGGCCATATATTCTTATTTCTCTTTCTTTCTTCCAAAAAAGATCACAAACTCTAAGTACTAGTTTGCTTTTTTTTTTTTTTTTCCACTTAAAGGTACACCTTGGAAACTACTCCATACCAGTTCCCGGTGTTCCTCCTCAATCAGTTTGAAAAATTAAATTTCCTCCTTTTTCTGTTCTCCATCTTGGAGCCGGTGGAGGCCTCCTGGGAGCAGGACTTCCACATGAATGCTGGAGGGCCGCAGGCAAGGCCATCCTTGCTAGCTACAAGCAGGGTCTCTGGAACCAGAGGGAGGGAGCACACAGCTCTTCTTACAATTGGAGGTGTATATGTTTGAGATGAAACAAAATTCTATCAAGGCAAGAGATGTGTTTATACATACAAAGCAAAGAACAACACAGCGGCTCCTGGAGGCACACTAAATAAAACCAGGGCATCTGGGGAAAGAAAGGTGACGCAGTCCCATGGCTCACATCAAATGCTGACACCATCTAAGGCTAAGGTGGTAGGACACCGAAACTATGTGATGCTGTACCTTCAAGGATTTAAACCTATCAAAAACCCTGTAGATAACAGTGGATCTACTCTCCCATATTCTGTTAAAAGAAAAATTTCATTTTCATGACACAAGCAATGCATAGTCTGCTCCCTGTTTTTTAAAAGCTGAACCTTGCATTAAGGATTGGTCCACTCTGGTCTTCCACATCCTCATGAAGTTCATCCCCCCAGACCTCTTCCCATGCATGTATGTATCCACATACTTGGAAAAGGTTTCTTAACGCAGATGGTGTCATCTTTTAAGCATCTTTCTAAAAAACCAGCTTTCTTTAGTCAATGTGCGCAGAATAAACCTTGTCGCTAGGTGGCGCCCTCTTTCCTACCTGAAGAAATTGTCTACCTCCCGGAGGTCCCATCTCAAATTCACCCATCCTCTTGAAGTTGGCCACAGCATCGCAAACCAAAGTTATCCTTCCTACTCCTGTACTCCCTTTGCCTCCTCTGTAGCCTTCTCCTGCTGTATTAATTAATTGATGATTGGTTGATTAAGATGTGCAAAAATGTGTCCTAGGAATAAAATGATGCATGTCAAGTCCTTAACTGGATCCTGGGCAGGTATACACTAGGTGAATCTGACAGCTCCTGAGAGCAAGCCCACATCTTCATTCAACATTCTTTCAACAAACATTAACTACATGCCTACTGCATACTGGACCTGGACTGGGCACTGGACATAGGGTGGAGGCAAAAGGCAGATGTGGCCCACGGGTCAGTTTTGAATTCAGTGTAAGTCGTGGCTAACAGCATGGATTTGGCAGGCAGCTGCCTGGGTTTGGATCCTTTCCCTCCACTTATGAGCCATGCGACCTTGCTGATTCCATCTTTATTTTAAATTCTGGTGCTTTGTCATCATAGATTTCTTTTGCTGAAAATTTGGATTTTTCACATATTGCTTTAACATAGTATTTATCTTCATTACTAAGGGCAGGGTTTTGGGCACTCCCTTTAAACTTTGCATCTGAAGCAACTGCCTCCCTCAGTTTTGTGCAATTATTGAATCCTTTGTACTGCAGTTCCCTCACTTGCAAAATAGGAAACCATGTAGCACCTCCCTCCCAGTGCTGGGTGAGGACTAAAGAAGCTAATGTATGCACAGAACTTCAGATCAGCAAGTGTTAGGGGAGTGTTCACTATCAGCTAGGTACATGGAGAGTATAGAGGGAGCAAGCACCTGGGGCTCATGGTGGTTAATAAATGAACAGTGTGATGGCCATGGCAATGCCATCTCGAATCCTGCACCTCTTACAACCTGCATGCTGGGAGAATCCATCATTCTCTGCACGAGGCAATGCACCTACTGCATCTTCCTGCACTGCACTGACTGGCTCCCAATTTGATCTCACTGTTCTCTCAGGAAGCATGAAATGCAACCCCCTCTGCCCATCTCAGCAGTTTGCTAAACTCCACTCTTCTTTGCCAGTGATCACAGCAAGCGACCTTGCCCAGGCTCCAGGGCCCTCCCTGCAAATTTACAAATGCATCTCAGCTTCCTGTCACCATTGCCTCCATTACTTCCCTTCACTTCACATCCAGGCAACTAATTCACGATGGACATTTACAAAAGCTTTCTTCCATTGTTCGTTTCTGTCAGAGCAAAAATCTGAGGAATGTGGGCAGATCTGCCTCCCTCATCACCTGTGGCCTCTCAAGGCGTAGCCCTCCATCCCTCCGCTCTTCCTTCCTCTTACTCCAGGCCCTTCCCACGTTAACTGACTGGGAAATACAGCACCACTATTCATCTTCCTCTGATTGAATTGATTTTTCCCCCCTTATTACGCCATAACATTGTTTCCCACCAATTCCCCATTTTATTTCAACTTGCTTTTCATTCAGAATCTTGATGTTCTAGGCTCCATCCTACTGTCTGGCTTCCTGACCTGTTCAATTCAAAGCAACAAAATATTGATCTCTGTTTCTGTTTAGTACTTCCCAGTTGTCCCACTTTCCTCTTAATGCATCCATTTGTGAAGCCTTTTTCTTACCACAAGGGCCTGTGGCCACAGTCAAGGTCACCATGGTCTTTGTTCCGCTCCCATGTGGCCCTTCTCTCCTGACCTTCCTTCCCCCCACACCCCACACCTCCCAATGCCTGCAGGAAACTGCCCCCAACTCTGCTGAGAAAGGAAGATTGTCCTGGGGGCCAGACACCAGGAAGCAAAGGAGCCCCAGCTCTCAGGGCACAGACAGAACTGCCAACAGTTTCTTAATTACATAAGAGCACATTCATTGATTTCCTCCTGCGTCCAGGATCTACTTAGGGGAATGAATTGGTTTTTTGTTGTTGATGTTCTTTTCCATTTCTAAGTAGTTTGGGATTTTCTTTTAGTTTAAACTTGTGTCCTTCGGGTCTTGGTTTTATTGCATTGTGGTTCGAGAATATGCCAGCACGTTCTCTGTCTTTTCTATTTAACTGTTTTCAGTGGCTTTGGGTAGGCCCATTTTTGTATTTGGTCCACAGGCACCATAAAGAAGGCACATTCTTTTTTTCAAAGTTCACGTTCAGAGTGTGTCCAAGAACTCTACCCTGCAGTGTTAGTGGGGACCATACTGAGGGCCACATGTTGGAGGACTTACTTGCCATGTACCACCGTGGGCTGAGCCCTGTTCAAGAATTTTCTCATTTAATCCTACGGGACCCTGCAAAAAATGTCCGGGTAAAGGGCAATCTAATATTTGTGTAAAGAAAGAAAAATAAAGAAGTGACATTAATGGTGGATTATATTGTAAAAAAAGCTTAAAGCTGGGAAATATTTTAAAATCTTTCCCAAAGGTATCTAACAGTGTTACCAACCATTGGGCTCTCTACCCAGTGTGCTTAGAAGCCAATATACTGTAACACCAAATTTTGAGAAAAGAAAAAAGTTTTACTGGGAGTCAATTGGCTAAGAAACTGGAGATAAAATTTAAACCTGTCTTTCAATTAAGAAAAGTTTTGAGTACTGGGGTTGAGAATAAAGGAGTTAGATTTTATTAGCTGAAAAGCAGGTTAGAGGCAGGTCACCCTGTTTCAAATTACCTTCAGCTACCTCCACCCGGAGTCTTCCAGTCCCCATTAGCCTAAGATGCTTTTGTCCTTACTCGGCACGTTTGTTGCTTACTGCCTGTCTTCCCTGGTAGGAAGTGAGAACCACAAACGGATCTTTACCTTTTTGGTTCACTGGTGTATCTCAGGCAGCCCGAACAGCACCTGACACATATTAGGCTTTCTTTAAATATCTATTTGTACAAGTAATAGTACTCACAGAAATACATACTAGTGAGTAATAAAGGGGTTCCCTGAGCTACCTGAATTTGGGAATCATGTTCCATTACACTTTATCTCAGTAGGCATGGCTGAACCATAACCTTCACAACCAATGGAACAGACTTATAGGGTAGCAAAGCAGTTAGTAGCCTGTGGGAAGTAAAAAGTCCTAGGGATAATTAAGCAGTAATTGTTGCTGGGGTTGGGAGAATGGAGATTGGACAGCATTGGAGGCCTTGATAGGCTGCCACCTTGTGGATTAAAACTGAATCGCACCCATACTGACTTCCACCTTTTAACACTCTTGGTGTCTCTGCAAGTCCCTCCAGGTTTCTTTGACAAAGATGGGAGCCACAGACTTGGCTCTCTCAGAGTCCTGTGGAGCATGTGCCCACTTCTCTGAAAGATAACCCAATTTTTTTTGTGATCCACATGCTTTTTTACATATTAAAACATCCA